AAGAGAGAGAGAGCAGAGAGACGAGGAGAGAGAGAAGAGAGAGAGAGAAAGAAAAAAAAAGCAAAGAAACGAGAGAGAGAGACGAGCAGAGACGAGATCAGAGCAAGACCAGAAAGAGAGAAAGAGAAAGAAAGAAAGCGACGAGAAAAAAGCAGAGTTCAGACAGCAGCAAACAGAGAATGACGCAGCAAAAGCACAGCAGACAGAGACATACAGACCAAGATGATTCAGACGAAGACACAGTCACAATTATGACAATGAAGATTTAAGAGTCCTTTTCAAGGCAATTGTATCTCACCCTCAGTATTTCTCAACTAAACTATATCATTATTGATTATAGTTATTACAATATCACCATCGACATCATCATCCTACTAATATCAGTTTAAATTAGATACAGAAATGTTTGATATAACATCAATCATCATCCTTCTTTATATCATTAAAATTAGATACAGAATGTTTGATATAGCATCCAAGTCATCATCCTCCTTATATCATTAAATATAGTAGATACAGAATGTTTGATATAGCATCGATGTTTCTATAACATTAGCAACGATAGCATAATTGACTTCGATTGCAGAGATGATGCTGATAATATGATATTAATAGCAATAATAGCTTTGTTTATGATGGTAGTATTGATAGCAATAGACTTTATAATGATGATGTTAGTAACTGCAACAACAGGAATTACGATAACAATAAAAATGCTGGTAATAATGACAATATTGGTAATGACAGTGCTTGTAATAACGATAATCATAATAAAGCTGGTAATAATGATAATGATACAGTGATAATAATGATAATGATACAGTGATGATAATGCATTGCACATAATGCATAATGATACAGTGAATTTGATAATGATACAGTGATAATGCGATGATACGATGCATAATGATAATAACACCACTGACAATATTGACGCTAATATTCGATACCCGACAACATTCAATCAGCAATAACGACGATCATGAAAAATATAATAACAATTAACGATACTACTATGACTCCTAATGATGATAACAATAATACCACCATTTCCACTGCTACCCTGAACATAAATAACAATAAGTGATACCTCAAAATAAGATGTCAGAAGACCTTTGTCCTCGAACGTAGTAAACAAAGTGACCTCCTTTGCCCTCTTCGTTCTGTCACTCCCTGTCACTTATATATGTATAACGTCTTCAGACTCCTTAGCACTAGACTTCTGTGCAAATATTGGTTCACTTTTTTTCTCTCCGCTGTTGAGAGCCGCCGGAGCGGGGGGTGGAGGAGGCGGCAGGAGGGCAGCGTGGAGGTGGCAGGTGAGGTGGAGGTGGAGGTGGAGGCTGGCAGGTGGAGTGGAAGGTGGCACGGTGGAGCGTGGAGTGAGTGGAGGTGAGGGGAGGTGGAGTGTAGAGTAGAGGCGGGAGGGGGGAGGCAGCGCGGAGAGGGAGGTGGAGGCTGGGGTGCGAGGCTGGCAGGTGGAGTGGAGCGTGAGGTGAGGTGCCGAGCTGGAGGTTGGAGGAGGTGGAGAGGGCAGGTTGCCAGGACGGTGGAATTGCGAGAGGTGAGCCGTGGTGGTGGCAGGCTGCAGGAGGGCGAGCAGGCCGAGTGGACGTGGAGTACAGGAGGGCGGAGGTGGAGGAGATGTGCAAGGAGGTGAGGAGAGGTGCAGGAGCGCACGGTGGAGGTGGAGTGCAGGTGGAGGTTGAACAGGGAGGGGACAGGGGCGGGAGGGGGAGCGTGAGGTAGAGGTTGCAGGAGGTGGAGGTGCAGCGAGGCGCCGATGCGTTTAGAGCTTGCAGCAGAAGCGTGGGAGGTGCGATGAGGAGGAGAGGCTGGAAAGTTGTGCGAGGTGCGCAGGTGCAGGCAGGTGGAGCGCTAGAGCGTGGAGTGGAAGGTTGGAGGTGGAAAAGCTGGAGATGCGTAAGGGTAGAGGTGGCAGATGGAGGCAGGAGCTGGAGGTAAGGGTGGCAGGCTGGTGGCGTAGAGTGGAGGTGGAGGTGGCAGAGGAGCGCTGAGGTGCGACAGGAGGTGGCAGATCAGGCAGGCTGGAGGTTAGGAGGAAGTGAGGCAGGAGGAGTAGGTGCAGGAGCGTGGAGGTGCAGGAGGTGACGGGCGGAGGGGGGGAGGGAGGTGCGACCGTGGAGGTGGTGTGGCAGGTGCCCAGGTGGAGCGCTGCGCGAGGCTGGCCAGGTGCGACGGTAGCAGGAGGTGGAGGAGGGGGAGGTGTAAGTGCGAGGTGCGAGCGTGGAGGAGGGGATGAGCAAGGGCGAGAGGCGAGGTGGACGGGGAGGTTGCACGTAGCGCTGGTTGGAGGTGCGAGTGAGCGCTGGAGCCGTGGCAGTGGAGGTGGCCAGGTGGAGGCTGGAGTAGAGTCCAGGCTGCGAGAGGGGAGGTGGAAGTGGAGGGTGGAGGTGAGGAGCGCGATGGAGGAGGGGGAGAGGGAGTGGAGCGAGGTGGTGGAGGTGGAGGTGGAGGTTGGCAGGCAGCGATCTGCTAGGCCAGCGCTGGAGCGTAGGAGAGGACGCGTGAGGCGTAGAGGTGGTAGGCTGGACGCGTGGAGGCGTGGGGTGGGTGGAGTGGAAGTTGGAGGTGGCGCGGCCTGGCCCAGGGGGAGGTGCGAGGTGCCGAGCGTGTGAGCGAGTGGCACGGTGGCAGTGGCCACGATGGAGGTGGAGGTGAGAGCGAGGTGGAGGTGGAGGTGGAGGTGGATGGTGGTGCGAGGTGAGGGGTGGCAGCGAGCCGAGGTGAGAAGCGAGGTGGAGGTGCAGGAGGTGGCAGGGCAGGAGCGCTGGCAAGTGGAGGAGGAGTTCCCAAGCCAAGAGCGGGAGCGTGCGGTGCAGGACGCGTGTTGGCGTGGAGGTGTAGGTGGAGCGTGGCGAGGTGGAGGCAGGAGTGCTAGGCGAGGAGGCGGCAGGGTGCAGGAGGTGGAGCGAGAAGTGGAGAGTGGATGGTTGAGGTGGCAAGTGCGAGAAAGCGAGCTAGGGCCGTGGAGAGCAGGTGGAGGTGCCAAGCAGGTGGAGGTGCAGCGAGGTGGAGGGGAAGTCGAGGCAGGCTCCAAGAATGTGGAGCCGTGGACGGTCGCAGGGAGGTGTAGGTGGAGGAGGTTGGTCGAGTGCAGGCAGGTGTAGGTGGCAGGAGCGTGGATGCAGAGGTGTAGAGGAGCGAGCGTGTAGGTGGAGGTGTAGGTGACGGTAGAGGGGAGGAGCGTGGAAGGTGCAGGAGGTGCGCAGGTTGGAGGTAGAGGTGGAATTAGGAGGAGGTGGACAATTGCTAGGAGGTAGAGGTAGATGGCTGGCCAGGTGGAGGAAGAGGCTGGACGCGTAAGCGGTGGAGGTGGCGTACCAGGTGCCAGGAGCGAGGAGGACTGGAGGAGAGGTGGAAGTGGAGGTGGAGCCGTGAGGAGGTGGTGGAGACAGCGAGAGGAGGAGGGTAACACAGAGAGGAGGAGGAAGGAGAAAGGAGGAAGAGGAGTGGCCAGGCAAGTGAAGATGAAAAATATATAGAAAGCGAAAGAAAGAAAGAAGAGAGCAGAGAGAGAGAGCAGAGAGAGACGAGAGCGAAGACGAGCAGAGAGAGAGAGCACGAGAGAGACGAGAGAGACGAGCAGATTGAGAGAAGAGAGACGAGAGACGCGAGACGATCGTGAGCAGAGAGAGAGCACAGAGACAGAAGACCAGACAAGCAGACAACAGACAGACAGAGAAAAGAAAGAAAGAGACAGAGAAAGACAGACACAGAGAAAGACAGAGAAAGAAAAGAAAGAAAGAAAGAAAAGAAAAAAAAAAAAAAACTGACAAACAAGACGGGTTAAAGACAAGATTGACGATGCTTCACATTTCATCTCCCAGCCTTTTGTTGCACGCAAAAGGATGTCAACAGAGACCATTGCAAGGGCCTGGCACTCCTGTTCAAGCTGATCCCTCAGTGTTTGTACAGAGTGCCACTCGGCCGAGAAATCCCAAGGTGCTTGTCTTTCTTGAGATTGGAGACGGAGCGATGTGAAAGGGCGTGTTCGTGGGCGTAACGACGGTGTACATGTGTGTGTACATAGGTGCACATATGCGTACCTACACGCGGGTAAACACTCAGGCGCGTATATTCAACATGCTCTTAAAGACACATACGCACACAGACACACGGACACACACGCACACACACACACACACAAACAAACACACACACCACACACACACACACACCACACACATACACATACACATACGCCCGCTCATGTAGTCACGCTGCAGTACACGAGAGACAAAAAAATTATTATATTTACTGTTATTATTATTATTATCATCATTAATACTGATGTTATTATTATTATCATTATTATACTGTAATAATTATTATCACATTATTACCATTATTATTATTTTATTCATTATGTACTATTATATTATCATTATTATTTATATTATTATTTTATTATTATTATATTATTATAATTATTTTTATATTATTATTATTATAATTATTATTAATTATTATTATTATTATTATTATTATTATATTATTATTGGTATCATTACTATTGTTATATCATAATCATCATTATCATCATCTTTACTATTATCATTCTTGTTCTTTACCTTTGATTATTATCATCATTACTGGTATCATCAACAACATTATCATCATCATCATCATCATTAACTTTACGGTTACTATCATTATCATCATTAACTCTTACTATAAACTATCATATACATTTCATCAGAACGTAATAATCATCATAGTATACTATACTATCATATAATTTAATCAGAACTGTAATAATCATCATTTAGTATTACTATTTTATATTATCACACCCATTCCTGTTGCCATTTCTCTCATGACCTCACTTGACCTGTATCACTAACTAGATCAATTAAATTTCCTCCGCAAATTGCTAATTGCGGTAGTTTGTCAATGATAGGAAATCGGGGAATATCTGTTATACATAGCAATTTACATTTTTTTGCTGTTATCCTGTCGTCCAATCGCGGATTTAAGAAGGTGACTATGAATATCAGCTACCACGTCATCCCCCACCCACCCCTCCCCAAGCGCTTATCTCTCCCATCTCATAGCTTCGCCCGACACTCGTGTGTGTTTGTTTGTTATTATGTGATGTCCTGTTGTGTTGTGGTGTGTTGTTCCCCAGCACACTTCATCCTCGTTGTGGCCCGGGTGTGTGTGGTACTGTGTATGTTTGTGTTTGTTTTGTGTGTTCCTCACTATACATATGACTTCCAGCCTACGATTTTCGTAACGTGTGTGGCCCTGCTGGGCGCACCGTGTGTGATTGTGTGTTTATTCGTTGTTGTGTGTTGTGTGTGTCTAGTTCTCTCCGCTGTGTGTGTGTGTGTGTGTGTGTGTTTGTGTGTGTGTCGTGTGTTGTCTGTGTCTGTGTTGTGTGTGCTGTTCGTGTTTCTGTGTGTTTTTTAGTTTGTGTGCGTTCTTTTGGCCTCCTGGGTGTGTGTTTTCGTGAAAGAGGAGAGCGCGAGAGGGGAGGAGAGAGGAGAGCGACGAGAGAGGGAGAGAAGACGAGATGGACGAGATGATGAGAGAGACGGAGAGAGCGTGAGAACGATCGAGAGGAGAGAGAGAGAGAAAGAGGAGAGATCGAGACCGAGAGATGAGAGAGAGAAGACAGAGACAGGACAGAGAGAGAGAGACAGACAGAAGAGAGACAGACAGAGAGGAGAAGAGTGAGAGAGAAGAGAGAGACGAGAGGCAGAAGAGAGAAGAGGAGAGATGGATGATGAGACGAGATGAAAGAGAGATTGAGAGAGAACGATGAGAGAGACGAGAGAGGACGAGAGATGAGGGAACGGAGGCAGACGGAAGAGAGAGAGACGAGCAGCGAGGAACCGAGATGAGAAACCAGAACAGCGACAGAAAGCAATGAAAACCAAAAAAAACGAGGCTGAGAAGAGAAACAGAAAGAGATTAGTTATAAAAAAAGAAAAAAAAAAAAAAACCATGAAAAACGGACAGGAACGAGAAATAGAAGAAGCAAAAAAAAAAAAAAAAAAAAAAAAAAAAAAAAAAACAATGAGAGAGGAGGAAACAGAAAAAAAGACAAAGGAATAAAAAAAGCTCTAAGTGATCAAGCCTCCAAATTTTTTTTTTTTGTTTTTCCAAAATCTACAAAACCATTTTTAAGAACATTTCCCCTCGCATCCTGATCACGTAGGAATGGTAAATGAGGGGGGTGTGGGTGGGGGGTGGGAGCCGGGTTGGCGAGCCGTGCCGGTGCTGTGGGAGGGCTGCGTGGAGGGGGGTGTGGGAGGGTGGAGATAGGAACAACTAAGACGGGGATTAAAGTGATGGAAGACAAGATATATAGATTGATGAAGGAAATGAGGTGATTTGAAGATTGTACTGAGCGCCACCTCGCTCCAGCTAAGAGAGAGAGAAAGAAAAACAAATAAGATTGCTGGTAGATGAAGACGAGATGAGATGGAAAAAATTCTTTATTTTTTTCTCTCTCTCTGCGAGTCTGTCTTTCTCTCTCTCTGTCTCTCTCTCTCTCTTGCGTGAGATCTCTCTTCTCGTCTACTCTCTCTCTCTCTATATATATGTATAGTAGATAGTATATATATAATATATAATATAATATACGTAGTATATGCTGTACTATATTATAGTATATATTATATTTGTTCTTATATATGTTAATATGCTTAGGGTATAGTAGGTATATATACTAATAACGATTATATGATAAGTATATATTATGTACTGGGAACTCTCTTATTCTTCTTCAATCCTCTTCTATGATCATCATCATATTATTATCCATTATTACTATATTTCATTATTACTCATCATACCATTATCATTATTAGTTACGTATTATTATTATTATTGTTGTTTATTATCATCATTATCGTTGTTTATAATATGGTTATTAAATATTATTGTTTTTAAAACTTATTATTTATCATTCATCATATTCCTTCTCTTTAATTCTTATTTTCTTACATCATTCATGCAACTATCACATCATCATCATCATCATCTTATTCTTGCACATATTCCTCCTCTAACTCCTCTCCTCCATAGCTCACTTTCTCTCAAAATAACACCAATAATCATCAAAATTATTATACCACTTTCTCACGCCACGACAACGAATTCCAAGAAGAGAAAAAAACAATCGGATCCAAACCGGTCGGAATTCCTGGAGCTTATACCCACGCCAATGACCCTTATTGACACGAACTACGCCGTCATCGTGACAGCCATTGTTCAAATTCATGGTAATAAGATCAGACAGTTGGCTTGTCATGGGAGCGGTATGTCGGGTCTGCCATGACACACGGGTGGGAATTGCTAAAGGCTGTTATTATTAGTTGCAATTACGGTTAATAGCTTTTGTTAATGTCACCATGATGCGGTTGGTCCTGAGTGTGTGTTGGTCTCTTAATATTATGTATCTTTCTGTCTCCATCTTTCTCTTTTTCTCTCTCCTTAATGATGAAATTCTTTTTTTTTTTTTCGTTTTTTTTTATTTATTTTTTATTTTTCTTTCTTTTTATATGTTTCTTTCCTTTTTATGTTTTTCTCTTAACATTATGTATCTTTCTATCTCCATCCTTCTCTTTTTCTCTCTCCTTAATGATGAAAATCTTTTTTTCTTTTCTTTCTTTCTTTTATTTTTTTTTCTTTCTTTTATGTTTTTTTTCCTTTTTATGTTTTTTCCTTTCCTTTTTTATGTTTTCTTTCTTTTCTTTTTCCTTCTTTCTTTTTTTCGTTTCTTCTCTTTCTTTCTTTCTTCTTTTCTTTCTTTCTTTTTTTTCTTTTCTTTCTTTCTTTTCTGTTTCTTTTCTCTCTTTCTTTTTCTTTTTCTCTTTCTTTCCCTTTTCTCTTTCTTTTCTTTCTTTTTCTTTCTTTCTCTTACTTTATTCATTTTATTTTAACTTTAATTATTATTATTATTATTTAAAGAAGTTATTTGGTAAAGTTGTCAGTAGATTTGCAAAGTTGAGATCTTGTGCAATTGCAACATCACCGAAGGATGAGAAATTCGAGAGTAGGAGGGGGGGGGGGTGCAGGGGTAGGCAGGAGAGAGAAAAGAGAAAGATGGAGATAGAAAGATACATAATGAGTTAAGAGAGACTAACAAACACACCCACACGATGATATACAGACAGGCAGATAGATAGACAAATAGAGAGAGAGAGAAAGAGAGAGAGAGAGAGAGAGAGAGAGAGAGAGAGAGAGAGAGAGAGAGAGAGAGAGAGAGAGAGAGAGAGAGAGAGAGAGAGAGAGAGAGAGAGAGATAGAGAGAGAGAGAGAGAGATAATGAGTGAGAGAGAAAAGAGAAAGAGAATAGATAGATATAGATAGCAGATTAGAGAGAGAGAGAGGCAGAAAAAACCCTTGAGCAATCAGCATTCCCACTCTAGAAAGCGTTGTATGGGAGGGGAAGGGGGTAGGCACGAGGTACAGGCGTCAAACATGTTCCGAACGCGTTTCTCGTCTTCGGAATCTTAAAATCGTGCTCTACTCAATTGTCACACGAGAGTTGAAAAGGATTGGAGAATTGAGTGGATTGCGAATTTCCACGAAAAGGAGATTTTCTTGATGATCTTGTGCACGGTGCGGATGTGTGTGTGTGTGGTGTACGTGGTGTTGTGTTTGTTTGTTTGTGTGTTTGTTTGTTTGTGTACGTGTGTTGTGTGTATGTGGTGTGCGTGTGTGTGTTTTGTGTGTGTATGTGTGTATATGTGTTGTTTGGTTTTATTTGTTTTGTTTTTTTGTGTGTATGTGTGTATTCGTGCGTGTGTGTGTGCGTGTTGTGTATGTTTGTTTATGAGTGTGTGTGTTTGTGTCTGTGTGTGTGTGTGTTTAGGTTGGCGTTACGTGTATATCAAACAGCAGGCTATCCACACACACACACACACACACACACACACACACACACACACACACACACACACACACACACACACACACACACACACACACACACACACACACAAAACACACACACGCACGAACACATACACAAAACAAACAAACAAATAAACAAACAAACACACACACATACCATTCATGCAATCGTTGCAATGTACATTTTTAAGCATGGACAGTTCAGTCAATTGTTCATGCATTGACTTTGAAGTAACATTTTTTTTTTTTTAGTTTTGTCTTTTGTTAATGTATATTGTAACGGTGTTCATCAAGTTAATGTAAACCTTTATCAATATTTTTGCTATTACTATCATCATATTCATTGTTATTACTATGATTATTATTATTATTGCTATTATTATCATTATCATTATCTTTATTATTGCTATTATTATCATTATCATTATCATTATTGTCTTTATTATTATTATCATTATATCATCATCATAATTATTATCATTATTATTACTATTATTATCAGCATCATTATCATCATCATAATTATTATTACACATATCATTATTATGATCGGTATTATTATTATTATTTGATATCATTGTTTCTATATCATAATTATCACTATCATTATTTTCATTACTTTTTATTACCTCTATTGTTATTATTATTGAGAGAGAAAGAGAAGAGAGAGAGAGAGAGAGAGAGAGAGAGAGAGAGAGAAGAGAAGAGAGAGAGAGAGAGAGAGAGAGAGAGAGAGAGAGAGAGAGAGAGAGAGAGAGAGAGAGAGAGAGCGAGAGAAAACAAACGAACGAAAAAGAAAGAAAGGACGAAAGAAACAAAAAGAAAAAAAAGAAAAGGAATCAAAACAAACACAAACACGGCCCACACTGCAACTCCCTCCCACTCAATATTTACATGTTGCAATTATTGCTGCATTGCGTTCGGGTTATGGCACCATTCGGGCGAAAAGAACCGTGAGAGTGCCATGGTCTAGTGCCTCCCCTCTCTCCCTTTTCCCTCTCTTCTTCTCTTTCACACCTTGAGCTTTTCTCCCTCTCTCTATCTCTCTCTCCTTTTCTCCTTTTATTGTTCCCTTTCCCCATTTTTCTTTCTCCCTCTCTCTCTCTCATTTTCTCCTCCTTTTATTGTCTCCTTTCCCCTTTTCCTCTTCTCTGATTCTTTTCTGCTTCAAATTTATCGTTTTTCCTTTCCTAATTTTCCTTCTCCTCCCCCTTTTATTTCCATTCTCTTCCTCTTCTCCTTCTCTTCTTTCTCTTCTCCTCTTCCCTTCCTTTCTCTCCCTCCTCTTCCCCTCCTCTTCCCTCTCCTCCTCTCTTTATTCCCCCTTTTCTTCTCCTTTCCATCCCATACCTCCTTTTCTCTTTCCTCTTTCCCTCCTTGCACTGAGATTGGCAACACTGAAAGGACATAGTACGGCAATGGCAACACTGAGGATTTGATGAATGAAAGATTTTTTTTATGAATGAATAATGAATAACTTCGTAATAAATATTTCAAGTGAATAAGTTAAAGACATTTGAATAATTAATTGAAAGAGACATTTATATTGTTTATATTGATGAGTGATTTTGTAGAAGACTAATGAGAAAAAATGAGATTAATTGTATTTATGAATGGATGATTTATGAATGGAAATTTTGTGAATGATGGATATTTGTAGGTGATAAATCTATGAATGAAAGTGTATAAATAGAGATTTTATGAGAATATGTTATTATGAATTACTTAATTACCTTTGTAAAAGTTTATAGATACATGTTTATCTCTGTATTTTTATATCTGTTTCTCTAACCTTTCTTTCTGTTCCTGTTTATCCAGAAAACAAATATGAATGAGAATAGATATCTTTACAATAAAAGGAATGTATTTAATCGTTTTCATCTTCATCTTCGTTAGAAATACGTTGACAGCTTCGAAACCGGTCAAATACATTTCTTGTATTGTGAAGATTCTTATTCGTGTCTTTTTAAATTCTGTTTATTTTGTCCCGTCTCTCTCTTTCTCTTTCGGCCTTCTTCTCCCTCTTCTCATCCTCTCATCTCTATTTCTCTTTTGTCTTTCTCTTCTCTCTGTCTGTCTGTCTGTCTGTCTCTCCTTCCCTCCTACCTCTCCTCTCTCTCTCTCTCTCTCTCTCTCTCTCTCACTCTCTCTCTCTCTCTCTCTCTCTCTCTCTCTCTCATCTCTCTCTCTCTCTCTCCTCTCTCTCTCTCTCTCTCTCTCTCTCTCTCCTTCCCTCCTCCCTCCTTCTCCGTCTACTTATTCCCCCACATCTGTTGTATATTCGATACTACAATATATCATCTTTCGTGTTTTAGGAAAAAAAAAACACAAACTTCAGATTTTCTTGACAGTAACATATCTAACTGTCACGTGACTTACGTATATCTCTGTGTATCTTTCCGTTAGTTATAAATCACTGTTTAAAATCTATTTTTCTTTGAGTTTCTCCTTTGCTCTCGACTGCCCATCTGTCTTCATTATTTTTCTATTATTTTCTCTACCTTCTTCTATGCACCATTAACCTCTCTACCTCTTCTCCACGTTTATTGTTTTTTTTTTTTCTAATTCTTCCTCTTCTTCACTACCATCTTCTATGCACCATTAACTCTCTCCTCTCTCCACTTTTATTATGTTTTTTTTTAATCTTTCTTCTTTCTTTCTTTCTTTCTTCTTCTACGTCTGTTGTGTGTTTTTTTTGTTGCGTTTTGTCTCTTCTATTTTTGTTTGGATTGATCTCTCTCTTTCTCTTTGATTTTGGATTCTTTTTGTTTGTGTCTTTTATTCTTTCTCTTTCACTTGCCCGAAGAAAAAGAAGTAGAAGAAGAATGAGAAGGATAAAGAGAGAGTCAGATGTAAAGGACAATCCTTGAGACTCTCTATCTCTCTCTTTTCCCTTCTCTCTCTCTCTCTCTCTCTCTTTTCCCTTCTCTCTCTCTCTCTCTCTTCCCTCTCTCTCCTCTCTCTCCCTCTCTCTCTCTTTCTTCCTTCCCTCTCTCTCTCTTTCTTCCTTTCTCCCCTCCCCCCCTCTCTCTCTCTTCCTTTCTTCTCTCTCCCTCTCTCTTCTCTCTCCCCCTCTCCCTCTTCTCTTCTCTTCTTTCTCCCCCTCCCTTTCTCTCTCTCTCTCTCCCTCTTCCTCTCCAATTCCAGGAAAACTCAAGACGGCACTACACACGACTACACCCAAGACCAACTAAGACCACAGAAGACTATAATAAATCACACTGGACCAAAAATGCCTTTACTAGACCACGTCAGACCACGTAAAATTAGACAAAGCCACTCCAACCCGCAAAAAGACCACAAAAGACCTCAGAAAGACCAACAAGACCACACAAGACCACAAAAGACTTCAAAAAGACCACACAAGACCTCAAAAAGACCACAAAAGACCTCAAAAAGACCACAAAAAGACCACAAAAAAAGACCACAAAGACCTCAAAATGACCACAACAAACCTCAAAAAGAAAAGGCCTCAAAAACCACAAGAGACCACAAAAGACCACAAAAGACCAACAAAAGACAAAAAGCCCACACAAGACCTCAAAAAGACAAAAAACACCACAAAAGACTCAAAGACCACACAAGACCAAAAGGCCACACAAGACCAAACCCCAGAGAACCAAAAGTGATCACACAGACCATATCAGACCACAGGGGACCACTGAGAAGCACCAGGAACCACACAAGACCACACCGGACCACAAAAGACCTATCCAAAACCACCTAGAATCACCCAGGACCTCTCCAGACCACAATGAACAACACGCCAGACCCCATAAGACCGTAGATTAAACTAGACCCAAGACCCAAGACCACTCTAGAACATACCAGACCATACCAGACCCACCAAACCCCTCAGACCACACCAAACCCCTCCAGACTACTCCAGACCACATCAGACCACACCACATCACTCCAGACCACACCAAACCCCTCCAGACCACACCAAACCACTCCAGACTACTCCAGACCACATCAGACACACACACATCACTCCAGACCACACCAAACCCCTCCAGACCACACCAAACCACTCCAGACCACATCAGACCACACCACATCACTCCAGACCACACCAAAACCCCTCCAGACCACACCAAACACACAGACCCCCAGACCATACCACCCCTCCAGACCACACCAACCCCTCTCCAAACCCCTCCAGACCACACCAAACCCCTCCAGACCACACCAGACCCCTCCAGACCACACCAGACCACACCAGACACGGAAACGGAACACAGAAGGAGGAGATGTCAACTGCAAGGCCCAATGGCACCGAGAGGGCAGGCTTGGCACGGAGATAAGACAAACAGTAAACCTCAAAGCCTTGGAAGATCATCCGTGTGTGTGTGTGTGTGTGGGTGCGTTTCAATGTGTGTGCGTGTGTGTGTGTGTGTTCGCGGTCAGTTCCTTTGATGTGTAATCCCTGTCCGATCCCCCACACGCCCTGGTCACCTCTCAAAGCTGTTCAATTATTAGTATTTAGACAAGCACCCCCACCCCTACCTACACACGCTCCATCCCCCCCCCCTCCTCCTACACACCTCCCATCCCGCCTACACACGCCCACTCCCAATGACCCCCATCTCCCTGCCCCCATTCTCATCCTCTCCCTCTACCCCCCCCTTAATACCCCTCACCCCACCCCTTCTCCCCATGACCCCCCCTTCTCTCCATGACACCCCCTCTCTCCCATGACCCCCCCCTTCTCCCATGACCCCCCCTTCTCTCCCATGACACCCCCTTCTCTTCCAGATCCCCCCCTTCTCCCATGACCCCCCTTCTCCCGCAACCCCCCTTCTCTCCATGACACCCCCTTCTCTCGCATGACACCCCCTTTCTCCATGACCCCCTTCTCTCCATGACACCCCCTTCTCTCCATGACCCCCCCTTCTCCCCATGACACCCCCTTCTCTCCATGACACCCCTTCTCTCCATGACCCCTTCCCCTTCTCCCCATGACCCCCCCCTTCTCCGACCCCCTCTCTCCATGACCCCTCTCTCCAATGATCCAGACAACCCCCTTCTCTCCATGACCCCCCTTCTCCCCATGACCCCCCCCCTTCTCCCCCATACCCCCCTCTCCCCCTTCTCCCCATGACCCTCCCTCCCCTCTTCCCATGACACCCCCCCCTTTCCCAATGACCCCTCCCCTTCTCCCATGACCCCCTCCCCTTCTCCCCATGACCCCCTCCCCTTCCCCCATGACCCCCCTCCCCCTGTCTCCCCATGACCGCCCTCCCCGCTTCTCCCATGACCCCCCCCCGGCATGCCCTCCCCCTTCTCCCCATGACCCGCCTCCCCCTCTCCCAGGACCCCCCTCCCCCTTCTCCCGCATGACCCCCTCCCCCTTCTCCCCATGACGCGCCCCTCCCGCCTTCTCCCCATGACCCCCTCCCCCTTCTCCCCCATGACCCTCTCTCCCCATGACCCCTCACCCCTTCCCCATGACCGCTCCTCCATGACCCTCCCCTTCTCCCCATGACCCCCCCACCTCCGCCTGCTCCCCCATGACCCCTCCCTTCTCCCCATGACCATGAACGCGCCGGAGCATGACCCATGACCACCCAGATACCTCACCCCCCCCGCCTTCTCCCCATGACCCCCCCCAGATACCTTACCCTCCCCCTCTCTATCACAGCGAGAGGTCATGGCGTCCGAACCGAAATTGTAAGTGATCGCAATGGCTTTTGTGAATCAGTGAATATTTTGTGTGGTTAGGGAGAGCGAGGGGTATGGTGAGCAGGATGGGTGTTTTTTTGTTTGTTTTTGTGTTGTTCTTTTTGTTTGCTTGTTTGTTGTTCTTTTATGATTTGTTTTTTGTTGCAATGAACAAAAACGCAAATACAAAACACACACGCACGTCTATCCAATGATTTTATGAAGGCAATATTTCATTTATTTGAATACCAACAATATTTTCTCTCTTCTCATCTCTCTCTCATTCTCCTCTCTCTCTCTCTCTCTCTCTCTCTCTCTCTTCTTCGTCTCTCCTCTCTCTCTCTCTCTCTCTCTCCTCTCTGTGACCGTCTCCATGCATGACACTCCTTATGACAGCAAATATCTTAATAATGCTGACAAAAGGATTGTTAATGATACTAATAATGGTAATGTTTATAACAATAACAACGATGAGGATAAAGATAATGATATATACAATAAATTATATTAATGACGTCAAGGATAATGATGATGATGGTAATGAATATAATAATAATGATAATGATGAAACTTGGATGATAATAATAAATAACATAAAAATTCTGATATTGATAACAATGATAATAATAATAACAATCATAAGGATAAGGGTTATTATAATCATGATCACAATAATGATAGTGATGATAATAATAAATGACAATGATGATTGTCAAAATGGGACATTGAGAGAGAGGTCTAGATATTCACTAAGAATGATGTTGACAAATTATCTTTGTTTTGTTCGAATTTGTTTTGTTCTCTTTGTCTGTTTTTCTTTTTTGATTGTCTTTTTTGTTGTCTTTTTTATATTTGTTTATTCTTTTTCTTTTGTTGTTTTGCTCTCTTTGTCTGTTTGTGTTTTTGTTCCTGTTTCTTTCGTTGTTTGTTTATTTCTCTCTCTCTCTCTCTCTCTCTATCTCTCTCTGCTCGTCTCTCTCTCTCTCTCGCTCGTCTTCTCTCCTTCATCTCTCCTCGTCTCTGGCATCGTCTCTCTCTCTCTCTGTCTCTCTCGACCTCCTCTATTGGTCATTATCTCATCTCTCCTTCCCGCCTTCCTCCCTTCCTACCTCTCTCTTCCTTCCCTTTCCTTTCTCCTTTTCCCTCCCCTTCTGCGCCCCCTCCCTCCCTCCTCTACACTTGCCTCTCTCCTGTCTTTTTCTCCTACACCTCTCTCTACCTTTTTATTCTTTTTCTTTCCCCTCTCCACTTTCTGCCTCTTTCTTCTCTATCCCTTTCACTCCCCGCCCCCCACCTCGCTTCCCCTCTTCCTTATTCTTTTCCCTTTCCCCTCCTCTCCATCTTTTCGCCTCTTCTCTCCTCACCCCCCCGCCCCCTTTCATGTGTCCCCACCCCTTCCTACCACCTCCACCTCCCTTTCCCCTTTCCCTCTTCTCTCCCCCCATTTCACGTATCGCTCCCCCTCCTTCCTCCCCCCTCCCCCTCCCTTCCTCCCCCTCCTCCTCCCTTCCCCCTTTTTCCTCTCTCCCCACCCCTTTTCACGCACGCCCATCCCTCCCTTCTCCGCCCCACCGCCTCCTTCTCCTCCCCTCCTTCCCTCTCCCGCCTCACCACCCCACATGAAGGGAGGAAAGCCAAGCATAAATTTACTTTTATTAATCTCAAGGTTTATCTGACCCGTCACCATATGTTGTTAATGATGACCTGGTCACACGGGTTTTTAACAGTGAGTCACCATTCGCTATCACACAGTCAAAGAATTCACTGGTTGTCACTGTACGATGGGTTATGATGGTGCGGTGATAGTGAGGTCGCTATAGTGCAGTCGAGCGATGGATGAAAGGTGAGGAAGTTTGTGGTGAAGTATGGTGAAGGATAGTGAAATGGTGATGTTGGTTGATGTGGTTGAAGGCTAAGGATGGTGCGGTGATGGTGATGTCGCTATAGTGCAGTAGAGCGACGGATGAAAGATATGTAATGTATGGTGAAGTATGGTGAAAAGGGGATGTTGGATGATGTGGTTGATGACTGAGGATGGTGCGGTGATGGTGTGTATGAAATGCATGTAAGGTGTAATGAAGTATGGTGAAGGATAGTGAAAAGGTGATGTTAGATGGTGATCTGATTGTCGGCGTTGTTTTGATGGTGATAACGTCTAAAGTATGGTGGTTTGGCTGTATTTTTTTTAACGAAGGTGTAATATGATGTTTTTTTTAATTATTTTTTATTCATTTTTTTTTCGAAGATGAATTACTATGTACAATGAATATATGACTGTTAGTATATTACTTCTAATTGTGACATATGGTAACATGGACATAATACAAGAGCAAACAGATTGATAATAGTGAGATATGGTGAACTAATTCTAGGAGATAGGATGGTATTGGCGATAATAAGAAAATTATGGTGATTAACCGTGACTCCTGAATACCTGCCAATCCCCAGAAAGACGATGACACAATGTACAACCTCCTGTCCATTCCTCAGTCAGCCTACCTCGCCCTCTCTCCCCTCCACCCCCACCATTTTTAAAAAACAAGTCATCATATCTCTATGCGAAGAACGACCCCCCTCCCTACCTCGCGCCCCCCCATTAAAAAAAACAAAGTCATCATATCTCTATGCAAGAACGACCCCCCCCATTAAAAAAAAGTCATCATATCTCTATGCAGAATGACCCCCTCCCCTCCCTCACTCCCCCCCATAAAAAACAATCATCATATCTCTATGCAGAACGACCCCCCTCCCCTCTCCCCTCCCCTCCCCCCACATTAAAAAAAACAAGTCATCATATCCTCTATGCAGAACGGACCCGTCCCCCCTCCTCACCCCCTCCCCCTCTCCCCTCCTCTCCTCCTCTCTCCCTTTCCCCCTCGCCCTCGACAAATAAACAAACAAATAAAACGGGCCATGATATCCGAGTCAACATACACAGAGGCAAATACTTATTTACATACACACTTCTCGCACACAGCACAGAGATGTTGCGAGCTGATGTGTTGCCGGGGTGCGTTGTCCCATGTTGTTTTGTGATGAGCATACACTCACACCATGGACGTATACCCATGTGGCACACGCATATACACACATATTACAATAATACATGTTCAGAGCAAACAAGTACATTACATTTACACACACAATAGAAGTATGACCCATTACACATAATCAATTGTATTCAACACTTATACAAATATCACACAATTGGTAGACACAAGCACATCTCCATAACGCACATACACATCACATATAACTAACACACGTACGTCCATACAAGAACGTTTCTCCCTCTCTCTCTCTCTCTTTTGTTCCTCCACCCTCTCTCCTCTTCTCTCTCTCATTCTCTCTTCCTCTCTCCCTATCCTCTCTCTCCGTCTCTCTCGCTCCCTCTCTCTCTCTCCTCCTCCTCTCTCTCCCTCTCTCCTCTCTCTCCTCTCTCTTCCATCTCT